GCAACCAAAACCGGCGCACCAGAGTGCATCGTTGATGGTTGTAAAAATTGAACGGCCAACCGTGCAGTCGTGGGATATCCACACCATCTTCAAAACTCTCATCTGCACTCATCTGTCTGGTATATCATGTAACTGTCTGATCTGTCGTTATGTCTGGTCACGGTCGTGACGTTGGAGCTACAGAAATTCGATAAATCGATGAAATCACTGAATCAACGATGAATAACACATTTTGGTTTGGCTAATTCGCTTAGTATCATAAGTAGTCGATTTTCCGAGCGTGATCAGTACACACCATTTTTCAACTTTATGCAAATCAGCCTACGAATATCATTTTTTATTACACGCAAAGTGATTTACAACGAAAGGGATAAAACCCCATAGTTGTTGATATACTGTTTATGGTGCAGGGGGGAATGTGAAGGAACCTTCAGGTGAGAACCAATTTTGTCAACCCTGCTTTTGAAAAAAATATAAGTGATTGGAACTACGGAGATGGGAAGTGTTCCACAATTTCGCAGTCCTGGGGAAAAACGACGGGATGATAGAATTTCGATCTCTGGGGGCTGAAACCTGATAAGAGTGACTACCCGCCTGAGAACGAGATGCACGAGAAAAAGTCAAGTGAAAGAGAACCGCTGGAGCGTGTTTAGAAGAGCAGAAAAGCGATAACGAAGCAACTACATGGCGACGGGAAATTGACTGCAGGTTGGAAGTTAAAGACGGTTCGTCAATCAGCCGGATGGTTTTAGGTTGAACACGGTCGAGGAGAGGAAGAGAGGAATCCGGAGCTGCACCCCATAGGTAACTGCAGTATTCAAGCATCGGGCGTATTTGAGCTTTGTATAAAGGTGCTTGGGTGTAAAGAAGCGCCTAGTACGGAATATAAAAACGATCTTGCGCGCAGCGCGAGGGACGTCAGATCTCTCTATTGATCCGCTTATCATTCAGTTTTTTCCATACGGATTAATCACTCTGTTGCCAATGACCTTACCAATCATTATCATAAGACTGAATGATAGTTATATTGTTGTCATATTTCACACTTGTTTGAGTCCGGACTATGTGACGAACAAATCACGATACAATAAAGAAAAGGGGTCTATGATTTGATTGAGGGCGGAATACTGCCAGATTGCTCAGATCAAAGCAGGTGACTTTTCTTCGACTAGTTAATTTCTGATCCTTAAAGCAACAAGATGGCGTTTGGAAACTTCAATCCTTTGGGTGTTAGTGTCCAGGTCAGACACGTGCCTTTTTGGTGGAATCAAATATCCAAGGTGCCCAATCGAGTCAGGAACCACTACCAGAACCAGAAGGATGTGTGTGTAGTTTGCACGCCTCTTCCTGGCTGGTTTGGTGTCAGGGTTTTAGCCAACACCTCCAAGTGAACTGCCATTAGTTCACCGACTCGCTTCTAGCCCCGGATGTTGACTCTTCGTCCTCTTATTTTGGCGATAAGCACCTCCGCCACTTGAAGGCAGTGAGAAAGGTATTCCTCAGCAGAGTACACTCAAGACCATTGGTCGTTTAGGAGCCTGTGAAGAGGTGCAAAGAACTAATAAACAGTCACAACTCATGTTCTCCGACCACTGCGGCTTTCTGAAGCCTAAACAGCAATCGGGTTTGAGTAAGGGTTTCACCTCGGTGGGCTGACTATTACTGAGTAACATTTATTCCCGATATGAAATGCATTCAAATGCATATTGTACTTAGCTCCCGATAAGATTTCTTCTGTTTTCTTCACCCTGCTGCATCTGTACACGTCGGCAATGCCACACACCGTTGCGGTAAACAAATGATAAAACGTAAACCATAGTTTCGATCGGTGTGTTCTCTTCCGATTATGTGAACTGTCCTATCCACATTTTTGTTTTACAGCTAACTGATAACCCACTCCGCGCTTTGGAAGTCTCCCATTAGAACAACCAATTGCTTGGCTTCTCTCTTCGCCAATATGCTTTTTTTCTGCCCTCAGTTTCTGTACTTTGATGCAGTGCAACCCGTTAGCGTTCGGTCATTTACACCGTTTACTCCTTTGGTTCGCACTTTGGCTTTAGCTCATGTTTTCTAGTCCACAATCTTGTCGGTCATGTTAGCCACTGAGTGCTCGTCCTCACGGGGTTTGTCTGGATTTGCTTTCACTCCAATTTGCTTGTAGTTCTCATTGAAATCAGCAGGCATTACAGATTTTCCGTGTTTTCCAACGGATGAGAAGTATCTCGAATTTACCCCATTATGCTTCTGTTTATTTGTTGTTTAGCAACTATTCTAGCCCCCTACACAGCTGTCTGCGTCTCGTTCAATCCCAGTTACCGCACTGCTTGTGTTAGCTGTTTTCGTTAGTAAAGCAGCAGTGAACACCACTTCCTCTCTTTGATTCTTTTGTATAGCATATATATATAGTATATATAGTATTGCACAACTACTACCTTGCAAGTGGAAGTGGGGAGAGAGGAAGGAAGTTCCTTCGGCCAGCTCTGTTCCTAACACACGGAACCTGTTCTTAGCTATAGGGGCAACTCATTTTACGAAATGTATTTTGTATCTTCGTTAATGTAGTAGTTCTGACACGGAAAAGAACATAGGTTCATTATTCTGTTATTCCATCGGCGCATACATGTTTTTCTCCTTTTTCTGAAAATATGAATATTATTAGTGGATGATCTCTCTACTTCACCTTTATTAAATAGACAATTTTATATTCAACTTCCAGAATGGAAAGCGTTTTGCATGCTAACAATAAAAAATGTTCATACTAAGCAGCGATAACGGGATGCGAACAGCCGACCGCTAGGTAGATCTCATGGTGATCTGCATCGTTGAGCCAGCAGATTGAAATACACTTATTTTGGGATGACTGAAACTCCCTTCTGTAGATATCATTCTTTAAACTACACTCATTGGCCAGTCTGCTGAGTAGATGATAGATTGCCATCCATATTTCACTAGTTTTACTCAAGTAACTTTTGACACCTCAAGTGTTTAGGTTCGTTTGTCTCAATTTGAGACCACATGTCCCCCTCCTGGCACGAATGCTGCTGACAAAGTGTTTGCTTACTTTCTGGCATCTTAAACTGAACTGTATACACATACATAACAGCCCTGGTCCAGTCATTGCTAAGAATGTCATGGTTCTGGATACTGGTTTTCCGTACTACCATGTCATAAAAAAGCACTTCCGTATTACATGCTAACGTAGCTTGAATAGGCACTTGGCTTTGGTCCCGGTTATCCTCCAAACCTGAATCATTTTGAATCTAGAAGTTGATGTTTTGCCTCGTCAATAAAGATGCCTACATCCGGGAGCATAGATTTCTTCAAGCGTTCAACAACTCTTTATGTATGAAATAATCACGTCCCACTTTAAATTTGCAGTGGAATAAATGGATCCTCTCTCTCTCCTGTTCCTGTTTATCCCATATGATCTGCGCCAATAGAGATTCACGGACGCGAAGGCATATCCCTTATCGAGAGGACAAGACTCTGATTGGGACCGCGCGATATGCTAGTTTGAATTCCCACGGCGGTATTGAACAATCCCGCCGAGATGATCTGGAATCGTTGGGTTACGTGTGCATGTACTTCATCCGTGGCAGCCTTCCTTGGCAAGGTCTACGGGTGAGTGTGCATTACAATGACCGAATATTACGCACACAAGCTGGTTTGCGTGGTAAAAACATATTTTTCTTCCCCATTGTCCAAAGCAGTAAAGCGAGCTAATCCACAAATCCGAGGATACTATACTGATTAGCAGCGGTATTCCATGCTCCCAGTTTGTTATACCATAATCATCGTCATCGTACAGCGAAATACAGCGAATCTCACTGATGGCTGCCAAACTCGCAGTGCATACAAAATTAGTGGTAAAATTTAAGGTGTACAGGGATTGGACCAAACTGGGGGAAAGGAGAACCTTTACTTTCAACAAACAGGGTACACAATCAACATTTTCATACATACCGTTTCAAGCATTCTGGCCTGATGAGAAATGACAACAAAAACGCCACCGCTATCATATCCTTTATTGTCTCCAACCAACCAGCTGCGGTGTTTTTCGGGCCCCAACCCAGAAGGCACAAGAAACCTACTCTACCTAATCTCTCTGTGCATTTCTTCATGTATTGTCTCCACTTCATCTGCTGACCTCCACTTGGTTTCCTCCAACTCTTAGCGGCTACAGCGAATCAAGGACGATGTGGTCGACGACAGCTGGGCATACTCAATGCGTGCCCTAGCCAGCGAAGCCTACCAATCTGAATTCGATGAGCTCGCAAGTTTATCCCTAATACACTCCAAAACACACTATTACAAACCCATTCGTTCCATCCCACGTGAGTTAAAATACGTAAACACCGATAATCGAAAACTTCTAGTCGATGGATATATTCTACTCGTAAATAAAGCACAACTGAACGAACGGTGGCATAATATGCACGACCTTTCAACTTCAGTGAAATGTGGCGTCTACGCCAGAGGTGTTTTAGTCTAGCCTTGGAAATGTGGGCGTTTATCTCCGTTGGTGCGCTGCTGTCATAGGTCACATAACTAAGTATGGAAAACAGTCAGCCATAACTAATTCCTGGTCATCTAGTTTCAAGGCGGGAGTAGGCTACACCCAGTCTTACAGCATCATTTTGCACTTTGAAGGTGCAAAGCGCATGCCGAACGGAGCAACAGCACTTGTTAGCCCATCAAGTGCGTTTTGCGCATCCTGCGTACATTCTAACATACGGAGGATGTCATCGGGGTACTCTGAATCGCACCACTTTTCTCCAGCTGCCCACTCAATACCTACGTTTTGGAGCCCACTTAGTGTGTTCTCCAGTATTTCGTCTATGACGAAATTAAACAGGAATGACGAAATAGGGTACCCTTGAAGAGCTCGGCTGCTGGTGACAAACAGCCTACTTAGTTCATTGTAGACCTTCACTCGACCAGAGGTTTGTGAGTACAGTGACCTCAGCACATTAACGTACTTCTGGGGCATTCCTTTTCGAAGAAGGGAACCCATCAGAGCTTCGCGGTCAACTGATTTGAAGGCTCCTTTCAGGTCAAGGAACACTGCTATCGTTGATTGACAGTGGGTGTGACGCAGTCCCAGGTCTTGACGAAACGTGAAAATTTGATCAGTACATCCACGGTCAGGCCGGAATCCGGTTTGCTGTTCATGGATGTTTGTCTCTCTTAAAGGAGTCAGATATCGAAGTATGCTGGAGGCCAACACTTTGGTGACGACTTGGATCAAACTTATCCCGTTGTGGTTTTCACAATCGTTGGGAGATCCTTCTTTGAACGTGAGAACGATCAGTTATTCACCCCAATTTGGTGGATTGCGCTCTTGAGACCAAATAAAACTTATTACCCCCCTTCTTAAAAAGAGTGGAAGGGAGCCCATCCAGTTCTGTTGAATATCCTCGCTTCAGAGCTTGAAAATGTATGATGAAAATTTTGCTTCTGTGGGAGCATCGCACATCACTGCTCATGGAGCTTCAGTTACAGATAAAGTAATCTGGCTAGTGCCAGGCCAACGGAACTGTTCGCCGCTCACCGGTCAAGCCGTTGATCGGTATTGTGAATAGCTTGTCCCCTGTTATCGCGGTCTGTTTCACTAACTGGAGTTCACCGACCTCCCGCATGGCGTATCAGTTGGAACAGTCTTTGACTATTCCCTGATGCAGCTGCTGCTTCCGGTGCACTAGCTATTGTTGCCCACCATTTTTCACGATCCTTCTTTAGGTTCTTCTTGAGTTGACGTTGCAGATACCACCTAATCATGTATCGAACCTGGCAGTTAGAGGTTTGCTGTTTTTTCTCCATTGAGACTGCTGACTCATGAGATATCCAATACCTCCGACGCGCTTGAGGCTCAGACCCGCAAGCAACATTCACAATGGAATGCATTGCTTGCCTAATCTGGTCCCACTGATCATATACATCATCACGTTGAATCGTGATTAGCTCACGGACTAACTCGGACTCAGAGCGTGCACGAACTACTGTGACAGATAGGTAAGTTAACCAATTTTGCTTGTTTCGTCTTCGGCCAGTGAATCGGAGAGTGAACTGTATTAAGTCTAATACTTGATCAGACTCAACACAGATGGTCCAATAGGACCTGCAATTTTGCACCAGCGGTAGCTTACTGCTATGTAGTCCCTGTTTTATGTACGACACCTTGGTGTGTCGAACAGCAGATGGGGTAAACCCCATAGTCACGAGAACCTACTGTTCAGTAATGGGAGCCGGCAACCTAAGCCCTGGGACTTGGAGTGGCGAACCACATAAGGCTCCGATAGTTTAGGTGTGGTATTGAACCAGACGACGGCAAAGGTGCCTATCACCAAAGTTGGGTGGTGGGGCTCGAACTTCGAACCATAGTATCCAAAGCACACCGGTGACAATGACTGCACCATCATCATCCAGGTTTGAGTTGACCTACCAGTTGAATTGGAGCACCACGTTGCCGTCTGTCGGGAGCTGTGTCGGAAGTTAGTGCTAGATAAGAACAGAACTGAAGAATTCTATCGCCGTTGTCTGTTCGCTGGCAGGGCAGAGCATAACCACCACCTGGGCAAGCTTCTGATGCACTCAGTTTTCCAACCTGCGCGTTAAAGTCACCCGCAAGTACAACTGCGTCGGACTTTCGACTTATCCGAATGAGTACGAACCATCCACACCTTTCTGGTCGTGACACGGGTCACCGGCTCGATTGGGCATCTAGGTGTATTGGGCACCTTGGACGTTCGACCTCGTCCGAAGGGCGTATGACCCGATGAACCGGTCCCCGGCCCCCAATGGATTGCAAACTCTGAGTTCCGTCCTGTTGTCTTGCAGGTCAGGCTTTCTAGCCAAAGGCTTCGGATGAGGATCCTGAGGTTATCCCCCTTCGGCCAGGGCAACCGGGGAAGTAACATGCCCACACAACTTATGAACACATTATACATTTCCGAATTTTTCGCTCTAACTAACTACGCGCTCTTTGATCGAGGTGTTGGCGGTCGGCTCCACAGATTTCCACGTTACCACACCAACAGATCACACTCTTTCCCTTCCTCAATTATTGAACTTTCCTATTCTCGGTTTACCGCCTATTACTTCGATTCTCCAACAGTGTGTTGCTCAAAACCAAGGCAGAAACCATAGTCTTGTTCCCACGCGAAAGAAACAAGCTTCCGATCAGGTTATTCCGAAAAAAAGTACTCGTGCCCCGTTCACAGATGAAGTTAGGGACTTTCAACGTTCGAACACTTATGCAAGTTGGGACTCGCACACTGGAAACGCTTTCCATGGACGTTTGCTGCCTTACTGAGATACGGCTACAGGATTCGAGCACCGTACTGCAACTCGCTTCCCTGTCTCCGG